ACACACACACACACACACGCACACACACAGCCCTGGCATGGAGCCTCCCCAACACACACACACACACACACACAGCCCTGGCATGGAGCCTCTCCAACACACACACACACACACGCACACACACCGCTTGCCTAGGATGTTGTCATGTCTGAGCAACACTGTGTTGTAGATCTCGGTCTCCCGGAACCAGGACTGTTCGTCCCTCGAAGAGAAGATCTTCACCGCCACGCTCTCGCCATGCCACAGGCCCCGCCACACCTCCCCATAGCGGCCTTTTCCTGATCCGAAGGCCAGAGGGGAGAGAGGGTCATACTGGGTCCGAGCAACGCCCAGAGAGCCCCATCTCGACGTTGCCACGACTCCCCCGCAGAACCTCCGAGTCTGACTTCGTTCAGACCAAGCCCCGCTGGCAGCCGCAAGGGTTGCACCCCGACTTCTGCAGAAGGAGCCAGCCTGGCCCGTTTCTGACAGGCCCGCACCCAACAGAATTCATCCCCATTCCCGACACGTCCACCTGTGGCGCCGGAGCTCCCTCACCCCTCCAGGTCCTCGCTCCCCCACGCCCCCGTCCCTGGGGCTCACGCACGGCTCACCCACGCACTCCACCAGGGCGACCTGTCGTGCCACTGTTCTCTGCACCAGGAAGGGCAGCCCCGAGCCGCTGCCCGTGGTGCAGTCGCTGTCCAGGAGGTCCTGGGGGTACCGAAAGGCCTGAGAGGCTGCCCCCTGCCCCCGGTCACACCACGCGCCCCTCAGCCCCCCCCCTCCAACCTCAGTGGCTCCGATCGTGCCTTCCGTGACTGCCTGGCCCCTCTGCTTCTGTGCTCCCTGTCCACCCCAACCCGCGTCCCCGGTCCCCCTGGGCCCTTACCCCCAGCATGCTGTCTCCCTGCTCGGATGCCTTCAGGATGACGCTGGACTCGTCCAGTTTGCTAAGCAGCCCTGGCTGCTTCTCCTGCCTCCGCCGGACATGCCAGAGGCCCAGGGCGCCCAGAGCCAGCAGGGCCATCAGGGCCAGCACGGGGCCTAGGATCAGAGGCCACTGGCCGTCCACTTTCCAGTGCTCGGGAGTTTGCGTGGCTGTGGGAGGTGGGGGACACTGAAAACCAGCTTCCACCAGACCTGAGTTCCCCCCCAGTCCCCCCCGGCACAGCCACCCTCAAATGCCAAGCTTCTGCCTCTCCCACCCTTCTGGTGAGAGCGTCAGAGGACAGCGGGCAGGGAGGGCAGGCTCTGAGAGGATGGAGGGGGGAGGGGGCAGCTGGACATACCTTCTAGGACCAGGGACACGTTGTGGTTGCAGAGGGGGCTGTAGCAGCAGTAGTGGTTGACAAACTCTGTGGCACGTGCCCTGCAGAGCTCCTGGTGCAGGGTCCCGCAGCCCCGGTGCTCCTGGGGGTCCTTGCCTTCTTCCCGAACCAGCACTACTGTGCACCAGGACCCCTGGCAGGTAGGACCCCTGCAGTGGGGGCTTTCACACCTGCAGGTCACCAGCTGGTCCTGAGAGGGCTTCACAGGGTCACCTGAGGGACACACTGGATGCTTGGCCACTCTGCGTCCAGCTGCCCTTCTGAGCCCAGCACCCACGTCTGCCCCAGCCCCTCCCTTCTGGCCTACAAACAAACCCCGAGGCCTTGTCCTGCAGCTCGGCCTCAGTGAGCCTTCCTGCAGTCTTACCTGCCACCAGAGGCAGCGGAGACCATGAGAACCAGGCTGATGCCTCTGTCCTGATCCCAGGGCCTCTCCCCACCCCCAAGTTCCCCACCTGGCCCTGGGCCTGGATCCCAACCCCAGGACTCTCCGAGGCCTCACGCTCTGCGCTGCCAGGTAGAGATTCCACCCTGAAAGCTGACAGAGCGCCGGTCTGAGGTCTGAATCAACAGGGCAGCAAAAGAGTTTGGGGTAGCTAGGCATTCAGTCTACCCAAGCCAGCTCCCATCTTTCAGCCAAGCTCCTGGGTCCCTCTCCCCAGCAGCTCAGACTCCACCCAGCCAGCGCTGAGCCCATGCCGGCCCTTCTCCAACGAGGTCCTGCCCTACCAGCCTTGCCAGTACTCACCCTCGGTCAGGCCTAAGGCCATCAGGAGCATCAGAAGGCCTCTTTGGGAGGGTTCCAATGTCATGGTTCTGTAGAGCGGAGCAGGAGAGAGGGAGCAGTAAGATCTGTGAAACGAGATTCCCTTGGTGTTTTGAGTCACTGACCATGGGTCCCTCCCTCCCACCCAGAGGAAATCACTGGGAGCCTTTTCGGGGGGGCAGGGAGGTTTTGGGGCGGGGCCTGCAGGGGAAGTCCTGGTTCACTTCCCCATGGAAACCATCCTGTTAGGGGTAAAGGGTGGGGAGCCATGTTGAGATGACTGAGAGCTGGGGGGTCCCAGCTAGGCACCCCTGCTGCCGAGGTCAGGCTGGAAGGCGCAGAAGCTCGGGCTGGGGTGCAGGGAGCATCTTTTCAGCAGCCCCCTCCTGTCCACTGCCGCTTGCCCCGTCCCTCCCAGCCTCCGCTCCTACCCAGCCCTGTCCCAGTGCCCTCCACCCCACCCCCTCGCCCCTGGCTGCCTCAAACATAAACAGGCTCCTCTCTTCATTTCCTGCCATTCAGGGTCCCGCCAAGCTAGGAACAGGAATCAAGATCGTTTAGATTGGAATCTGGATAGAACAGGCAGGAGTCACGCACAGGAGCAGGGAGTTGAGCACATTCTCAGGGCTGGCTGGGTTGGCTGGAGCGTCTGGAGCAGCTGCCTGGGCCTGGGCCACCCCGCCACAGAACTCTAGGGGGACACTTTGTGAGTCATAAAGCCCTGCTCCTTCTTTTAGACAAGGTAGGCTTAAGACTCAGACAGCAGGAGACTTGTTCAGGTCAAACAGGATCCAGCCGTGGGCCAGGTACTGCAGGTGGGTTCAGAGTCCTTCCGCTCTGTCTGCTAGTCCAGGTGACAGCCTGGGCCTGCACCCCAGGGGAGGAGCGACCAGACCAAGCTTGCGGGATCATCAGGGTGTGAAGGACCTCAGCAGCCTCACCTTGCTGTTCTGGAAGGGGTCGGGCCAGTGATGTGGGAGGGGAAGTGAAACCCACTTAGACACTGAATGTTGGACTTTCCGTGGCTGGCTAAGGTTGGCCTCTCTTAGGTTGGGGAGAATGTTAAGAGGAGTGAGTCTGGCCTATGAGTGCCCCCAGCCAGGTCCCAAACGAACGAGTGCTTCAGAAGTCACTTCTCGTTTCATTATCTCAAAGGTTCAGAACAAGAAGTTAAGGGCTGAGGTTGCAGCAAGGAGGAGAGAGATCAGGGCTTTCCCTGTAGCGCAGGGGGTTAAGTCACAGCATTATGAAGCTTTCCACAGCCACTGCAGCACAAGTTCGATCCCCGGCCAGGGAGCTGACCCACAGGGTGCCGCAGACCTCTCCTGTCTCTCCGCTGCTCCCCTTGGTGGTGTATTTCAGTCTATCTGCCTGTTCTGCTCCCCCCACTCTGTCTCTGGTGAATCCTCTCACCCCCCACACCTCTGGCCTGTACCCCAGTTCTGTATGCACAAATAAATCTTTAAAAATAAAGAGGACAGAGATCAGAAAACAAGGATTTCTGAGTGGCAGAGAATACAAAGCCAGGCCTGGGCCTGGAGGCAAGGCAGGGCGGCTCACAGGAGGAGGAGTGTCTTCTGGATGACAGGGTAAGCCCAAAGGGAGTCCCTGGTCTAAGGATGGGGCCAAACGAAGCTCCGCGATGCCAAGGTCCCGAGGGCAGGATGGCTGGAGGTGGGAGGATTTCGCGCTGCTGGTAGCTTCTGCCTTCCTGCCTGGGCTTCCTCTGCCTGAGGCCCGAGGCGCGGGAGGAAACAGCCCGGCCGCTGCAGCTGTGTCCCCAGCCTGGCCTGACCTCCCGCCTCTCACCCCTCTGCAAACACTGCAGTGGGGCTGGGGGCTGATGCCTCCGCCCCAGACAGGCTGAATCTGCCCACTGGGGCAGGGCGGGAGTCCTCGTTGCCAGCCTCTGCCTACCTGGGAAATGGCTGCAGAGAGTACAGGATGTCAAGGGCACAGCAGCCCAGCATCCTTCTAGGACCTTCCACCCAGCTTCCATCTCCCTGGCCATACTCGGACCGGTCCTCTCGCTCACTTCCAGAATCCCCTGAAGCGCTTCTTAGAAATGCACATTCTTTGCTGTCTCCCCCACTCCAGGTTCTGACTCAGGTCATCTGGGACCAGCAAGACATGTGCTTGGCTAGCAGCTCCCCAGATCATTCTAATCAGTCTGTGTGGACCTGAGAAATGTGCCCTGTACCACCTAGGCCCCTGTGCTTTGATTCCACAGGGTCTGCCGTGTGGGGGTGGGGCGCAGAGGGCCCACCCCCACCCCCACCCCAGACCCACTGATTATGGCTAAACACTGCAGCCAGGGACTTGGGCCTGAAGAGGTTGGTGTGAGGGTATGAGTCGGGGCTCCCCCAACTTCCGGGTGCAGAACCCACCTCTGTCTAATGCTGGGGCTGTGGGAGAGACACGTTGCAGTGGTCCAGTTTGCTAGTGGGCCAGCATAAGGGTAAGTACAAGAGAGTGTGGCGTCCTGACCAGCCTAAACTCAGAGCTGACCCCGCAGGCTTCACCCTGAAACCCAACTTCATGCAAGGACCGTCCTGGGGCCTTCAGTATCTTTTCATTTCAAAGCAAAGTTTCATGAAGGGTGTCCTGCTGGCAGGGCGTCCCTGTTGGCCAGTTGCCGTGACTGACCACTGGGAAACCCTGATCTAGAGTTGTCCTTCCCTGAGTGTGACTGGTCTGCTCGGTACCAAACTGTCACGGTTGATCCGATTCGTGCTCACAACAACCCAGAGGGGAAACTGGCATTAAGGATGTTGAGTTTCTTGCCCCAATCACCCCGAGTGTCTCGATCAACCTAAAGTGATGATAATAAATTCGTGATCCTCCCATTGCTCTCAGGTGAGATCTTCAACAATGGAAGAGGGGATGGCTCTGTCCTGACCACACACCAGGGCTGGATCCCCACCAACCATCCCAGCAGGGTGCGGCAGCCCCCCTCCACGCCCCCCTTTCAGGACCTCACACACACCAGCGGCAGCTCCTTGCACCCAGAGGTCAGGATGTGGGTTCTGGATCATGTAGACCTGGGTTCAAGTCTTGCTTCTGCCACTTAAGAACTATGAGATTGGGGCGTAGGCTTCCCTGTGCAGAAGGGAACATACTAGAAAGAGTGCTTGTTCCATATGGAAATGAGCATGCATCTAGCAAAGCAGGACCTGGTGGGCTTGACCACCAGACAGCCCTACCATGCCCAGAGCCTGTGGCCAGTGATTCAGGTCTGAATCTGCATCCTTGTCTGTAGGATGGGCGTGATGACCCCTCTCCTGCTGGGTTGTGGCAGCGGGTAGCAATATTCTTCAGGGGCTGTATAGTAAGCACTCAATAAATGGTAATTATTTTAACTGCCTGATGATAGGACAAGCCCATCACTGGGACAAATGGGCAGCAAAAGCACAGATCCAGACTCAGCCAGAAGCCACCCAGGGAGGGAGACAGCTCCTCTCCCCTGGGCCCCAGACCTTGGCCAACAAACCAGGGGTGGCTCCCGCTCAGGCTGAAATCTGTGCCCCCCCTGGAGGGAGGCCGGGTCCCTCTGGCCGGAATGCTGAAGGAAGACCACTCTGAGCCGGGTCTCTGGGATCTGCCCCAGGGAAGGGCGCATCGGGGTGGGGGTCCGCTCGCCCCTTCCCAGGCCCAGCGGACCTCGACTCACCTCCACTCACCTCCGGACCTGCCCTGCGGGTGGCGGGGCGCGAGTGTGCAGCGACGGGCCGCGCTCCCGGCTGCTGCGGCTCCC